CTCGATGATCTGTTGTGGTCCTTTCCGACCCGAGCATCTATGAACTGCATTCCAAAGAGCCCCGACAACTTATCTTCCCCACATTGGATTCTTCATTTCTTATAGGAAAGAGAAAGTGCCATCATGAATCAGACCTGTGGCCATTTAAGTAGTATCTTGTCCTGAGCATGGCCAAAGCTAGTTGCTACTGAGGAAGGTACAGAAGTCCTGAAGAAATAAGTTGTGGCCCACAATGGACATTTCTTCCTAATTCCCATTAATCAACAGGTGGCTTACCCCCTGAACAGGGCCAGACACAGGCATGGGGGAACTGGGCACCCACCCAGGGCCTGGACAGAAAGGGGGCCCAAAAATGATAATTATTATTATCATTATTTCTGGCAAAGGGGTGCCCAATACTAAAAGTTCACCTGGGGCCACCCCGAGTCTAGGTATGGTGCTGCCCATAAAGCATGAGAACATAAATGTACTAGCTTCTCTGTATGGGTGTTGGATACTGCTAAACAGCTATGTATGTTCAGGAGTGGCATGAGGATTTTTTCATTCCAGGCAAATGACACTTTTCTGCCCTCCCTTGTAGCTGGAAACTGGTGAGGGCAGGCACCAGACAGTCCCAGAGGGCTGCCTTGCTCCCTCCTGAATGTGCCCAGACTCCTGAAGTGGCCCCCCCAAAGATCACATATAAGGTGCATGCACACTGTTCGTGCCAGCTCTGCTTATGTTTCACTCTGCAGCATTTTTGTGGTGAGAAAAGTGATTCTTGAGAAATGCTTTGGGATCCACAGAGAAGAGTTAGGATTACAGGATAGGGCCTTGTGTCGGAAAGGCTAGGAAGAGCGCACGAGCCAGATGAAAAGAAGAGAACATACACAAACATTAGCAGTTGGTAGGAAAGGGCCTCTCCATTTGTCCAGGCACATCAGGGTATGCATGGCAGTTCAATAATTATCTGAACAGCATTTATTTTCATTTGTGACCTCACTTAAAAATCTTCACGTTTTTCCTAAAATGAAGTAAAGAGATGGCACCAGGAAGCATCATGGTAAAGAGAAGCCCTCTACAAAGTGACATGGGCTGCATCCAAAGGATGAGATGAGCAGTAGGGACCTCAATGGGAATTCAACTGGTCTCAATGGGAATTCAGCTGGAGCAAAGTCATTCACTTTCCCATTGCTATGTGCTAAATGCCCGTGTGTCTCTTGAAGGGACAGGTGTGAATGTGTGGACTGGATACCCGCACTATACGTCATTTACTTTACAACCCATGTAGGAAAGGGGAACTGGAAAAAAAGGCAATGTGGCTGGGCATAACCCTAGTCCTAACAGGGATGAGAGGCCTGGCTAGACTGCATTTCCATCAGGCTTTACATAGATAACATACAAACTCATTGGCAGCAGCTGGAGGTGAGAGCAACTGGTTGGTACAACTTACTGTTGGCTGCTTTTTACAAGCTGCAGAGAAGCTGGCCCCTGAGGTATATAAAGCAGAGCAACAAGTTCTGCAGGAGCCTCAGATTCATTATTTCTATGTTCAGTTGCCTAATTACTGCATGTCAGCTGTCTGTCAGAAGGAATGATATAACAGGGGTCTCTGGATTTGGAATTCACCATGATTAATGGTCTTGGAGGGACTGACTAATGAGGAAATGTTAGAAGTAGCAAATACACAGAGGGTGGGCAAAAAATAAAGAGAGAAACACGACAAATGGACATAAGGATGAGGCAGGTATGAACACCCCATAGGGAGATGGCATTCAGTAAAGTGGCCTCTGGGCCCTTTAGTAACAAGGAGCAACATGATGACACTAATCAAGAGAAATGGAGGTAGGGTCCAGAGAAACTGTTTAATGATGAGATCATCTATGAGCTGAGCTTTAACTTCTCAGTAGCTGAAGACCTCTCGTCTAAATAATCTAAATCAAGACTGAGGCAAAGAACAAGCCGCACGGGATAAACCTACACCTGACTTGGCAATGGCTTCTTATCTCACATCTGGTTTACAGAGGTGTAACTCCACTGCCCCCCTTCAGCTACTCTAGATTTTAGAGGGGGCTCCAGGACCCAGAGCATTAAAGGTTTTTCAGTATTCTTCATTCAACATTGTAAGGCTTAACTCAGGCCCATTTTCAAATTAGCTTCCATGTTACTATTTAGTTATTATAACATTTACCACTGCTTAAAGGTTTTCCTAAATCAAGGCCTACGCCCTTGGAGTAAATCTACACACACAGAAGGAGACAGGATCCTAGAAACAGGCTGCAGGTCACAGTTTGGGGTTATTTTTCCTCATCCTAATATCTGAAGACAATCATTTTTGGACCTTCAAACCTGTGGTGAGGGTACTGACAAAGTTTCATTGCTACAAAAATTATACAGGTTTTAGAGAGACGCCTGATTTTTGCTGGGGGGGATCCCATTACAACCAGCTGAGTCATACAAACTGATGAATGTTAAGGGCAGTAACAACCCCATTGAAATCATCTGACAACTGATTCTTTATTAAGTCTGATGATCACTATAATTAATAGAGATGTGGCCCAGATTTGAACATCTACTGAATGCTTTCATGGTGTTTAAAATTCAAACTTAGTCTCTCACGCAAATGCTGTTATATTTATAATGGGCAGACTTGTCACACTCCCGGACACTAATATACTCAGGCTGTGGGGTGTCTGCAATTCACAACTGCACCTGCCTCCCAGTTGTGAAGACTGAGCTGATCTTTAAGTATCAGGAGGAAAACCGTGATTCTATGTGGCTACCTGGCTTAATTTCAAACAAAGCAGCTTTAATACAGCTTCACTCAGGTGAAAGACGCAGCTGTCACTAATCTTGCATCATGTCTTTTCCAGAACAGGGGATTATTAAGAATTCTGTTGGGCAGCTAGCACATCACCCACATTTCATAGTCAGTGGGGGAGAAATGAACTAATGAAAGCCGTATTATAAGTGCTTCTTGTTATAACTCCTTTAAATACTGCAGCACCGGTTGCAGTGGCATATTTTCTCCAGAACGGAAATTTCGTAAGGCCTGATCAATTTTCAAGGGACTCAGAGCAAGATCATAGATGAGGTTATAGTTGTGGATCAGGCGCCTTGCTTTTTCCTTTTCCAGCATGCCTAAGTTAAAAAAGAAGAAAAAAACTGATTAATTCCTTCTACAGATGAACTGAACCCCTTCAACAAAAATCAGCCCCTTCAATTCATCATTTTTCTTATTGGTATATGGATCCATACACCAGGGCTGGGTCCTGCACCACCCCTGCCCAGCTAGGATTGGGTGCTGGGGGTCCCACATCACCCTGCCTGGCCCCCATACACCAGGACTGAACCCCATGCCACCCTGCACACCCAATCTAGCGTGCAGCCACAGCCCTCAGGACTCCCCATAGATCCATGGAGGACTCTGCAGGCCAGGAAAATGGTGTGGGGGGCTGGATCTAGCCCACAGACCAGAGGTTGAACAACCCCAGACTAAATTTATGAAATCCAAACAGATCAACTCTACAGGAAATGAGCCTGAACATCAGCACTTTTGATTCAACCTCATCTTAAATCAGGTCAAAGTGAGGAAGCTACATAAAGCTCTCATAGATTGTCACTACTGGGACAGAATGTGTTTTGGAGATGATCAGGCAACACACAAAAATGGGTAAAGATTCAACAGACACTCCCTGGGTGGAAAAAGTTGATATCTACAGTGAAAAAATAACCAGCGAATACATCCTTACAGATGGATTACCAAAAAGGAAATGTGCCTTGCCTGCCCTACTGTCTTATTTGGTCCCAACCATCCTCCCTCAGTGAAATTCTCCCTCTTCATCGCATGCATGTTTGTGAGGCCAAAGAAGAAAGACAGGTGTGTAGTTATGTTCATTCTCTGCTATGAAACACTTGCCTGGAAAATATGTGTAGTTAATCTTCAGGACACTGATTAGCCCTAGATATGTAACAGCTTGGAGGCTGGCTAATTCTTAAAGTTTCAGGTTAAGTTAGGAGGTAATGCTGTTGCAGGAGGATGGAGGCATATCTGAGGGGTTGGCAGTTTGGATACATTGGGTTTTTTTTCTAAAGCAAGTTCTGGATACCCCTCTTGCCTGCTGGCAACACAACTCCTGAACCTGTCCTCCTGTTGGGCCCAGTTCACCTTCCATTCCATTCTGAAGCCCTCACTCAAACTGGGAACTCACAGGGGATATGTAAAGGCATTGAGCTGACTACAAGAAGGCAGGACTATGGAACTAAAAGGAGCCACATCCAAGAGCAGAATATGGCCCTTTCTCAAAACATTAACTCAGAGCCCCTCTTCTGCCCTTATTGGTATTAACAGTTGTTGTTTTCTTTAGATGTATTTATTCAATAGCATTTCTGCAGTACTGAATCCTATTGGATCTGGGTGCATCTCTGAAGGGGCAGTGCAGTTGCATCCTCCTTCCACATGCAGGTTGTATGCAGGGAAACTCCAGTTCCTCGTGGCCCAGGGGCCTGGGCCCCCTGTGGCATCCAAGGTGCCCCTGGACCCCTAGGCTGGTGTGGGACACCACGGGGGGTCATGCAGGGAAATGGCAAGAAAGGGTACCATCATTGTGCCTGGCTGAGCTTGGCACACTATGCTGCTACTCACTGAAGCCCCATCAGGAGTGGGGAAGAAGTGGCTCTTCCCACCCCTAGGGTCAGCTGGGACAACAGCAGTAGTGGCTACTGGCTAAGTCGTCCCTACCTGCACCCAGAGGAAAACCCAGGGCTGGAGAGGGGGAGGGAGGTATGGGGGGGATAGAAGAAGAACCCACGTATAATCATTTCCATTGTACATACAAGGAAAATGAGTCGCAATGAAATTTAAGTGATTCATATACTTTCAAGAAGTTCACAGCAGAGTTTGGGACAGAATCCACATGTCCTGACCTGCAGGCCTGTACTTTTCCTACAAAGCCATTATGCAACTTCTTCAGGTAATGGAGTTCATGGAGTCCCTTGGCTGAGGAACTAGAAATTTGTCACTTTGTAAAATAGACAATTAATTACTCTTATTTGATAGATCTGAGCCTCATGCCCTTACTCATGCAAGTAGCCCATTAAGTAGGAGCTGTAGGCCTTACTTTAAAAAGTTACCTGTGTTTTTTATGTCACACAAATAAAGAGCTTTCTCCAGTTTTCTGAACCGGTCTATCCAAGTGTCTTGTTCTTCACAATCACTGGAGCCAGCCGGACCAAAGAAGGACTGTGCTACTTGTTTTTCTTTGCCTTCTGTAGAGCTGTCATTTTTAATCCAGGTCTCAGAAGCTGGCATTTTGTGGCCTTTTGTTTTTTCCTGCAAAGAAAATGAATGAAAAGTGTAATAAAAGAGTAAGCGCCATAGCTTTTTAGAAAAAGACAATACAGTAGACCATAAAAAATCATAGAGAAAGTAGGCCTGGAAGGGGCCTTGAGAGATCATCTAGTCCAACCCCCTGCCTGAGGAGAGCTGATTCGAAATTATATATGGATTCATGGAGGTGCAGCAACATCATCCTCCATAGAAAAATAAAGGCAAAAATTTTATTGCAGTTGTACTTAGGAACCCCAGCCGTGGCCAAGTTCCAGTTGCGCTAGTAGGCACTGTAAAAACATGTAGTAAAAAGATGGTTCTTACTAAAAACACTTCTGTATTCTGTTTAACCTCTTGTCTCATCAGAGAGCAACTACTGACCTTATCATCTCATGTGTCATAACATACAGTCTTTAACGAGTATTTAATTTACGGCTTAAAGAGGCAGAGGCCTTGTTAAAATTTGGGGTTCAAGAATTGAGAGACTTAAGATTACATAGAAACTGGTAGCAGTCACTTATTAGGACTGCATACACTGGCATACACTGAAGACGAAGCAGAGATTATAAAACTTGTTCCACTTAATGTCAAAGGTAAGTGCTGAGGGCAGACTGTCCCAGATTGTTAAAGGTATTTGGGTGCCTAACTCCAACTGAAATCATTAAAGCCCATTTTCATTTGTGGATTGCAACTATGCTGAATTCTTTCACTGAAAATTATGCTTTTTGTTTCTGCTGGAACCTTTAGAAAGCAACAAATTAAAAATAATAATAATAGTTTCTTTTAAATGCCTACCATAGATACAGGCTCTTCTCAGTCCATTGCATTCACATTTCATTTTGTGGATAATGGTCACTTTTCTCTTAAAGCATTGAAATTAGCACTGTGACCACTCTTCCTTTGATCAGAGCTGGCACAGTATCACAATTCATGTGAACAGAGTAGAACAATAAACTCCAGAGCTGCCAGCACGACAAACCCCCAACAGGAAAGTCAAACATTCCCCCAAATTAAAAAAAAAGGTAATATAAAATGTAAAAGAGAAAAAAAGGAAAACATTTGGGTATGGCCTTCTTTATTAAGGTAAAAGGACCCCAATCCAGTGATTAACATAACTTTTAAGCATGGAAGTTATTCTCTTGACCCCAATAAAACCAATATGCTCATATTTAGGCAGGCCAGGTTCTTTGAGTAGATGTGATCTCTTTTATTAGACCAACTGAGTAGTTGGAAAAAAGGTCTTGGCAAACTTTCGGGCGCAGTCACCCTTCTTCAGGCATAGGAAATCTCTGCTGTTCTGAGAGCATTTAGATACCTTGTTAGACCAAGCTTTAGGGCATGGAAGCGACTGGTAAACCATAAATGACTTTAATGGTTGCAGTATTTGGCTCTGCCAATTGACTAGATAGTCATATTTTGTTCATTAGTTTAAAAACGACCAAATGAGGTCATCACCCCTGCCCTGTAGAGATAGCTATATAACAGAACAGTAACATCTCAACCAAACTCCTTATCGGCTATTTCAGTGCAGTCCAACCTTTTGGGCAAGCATGCCACAAATTAAACCTCAACCCACCCTAGACCTGCCATTCTGATCCCCTTTCCCTGCCTGCTCTACTTTCTGTTCAGTACTCTCTGCTCCCTGCCCAATCTCCTGCTCTTCCTTCTGCTTCCTGCGTATCTGCCGCTGTGCTGCCTGTCCCCTCCCACACCTGTGTGCCACAAACAACAGGCTCTTGTGGTACTTGTGCCACAGGATGGCCACCCCTGCGCTATTTGATTGTATGCATTCTGTTGAACATACCGGGTGCGTAGCCAGACCATCACAGGTTTCTTCTTTGATTTCACCTAAAGTGGAAAGAATCATAAGCATTTCTTGCAACCATACATGCCATAAAACAGCACAACACTTGAGTTTTGGAGCTACCGGCCTGACCCACTGATCCCACTGATGTCAGTGGACCAGGTCAGGAAGAAACCTCCAGCAGAAGTGAGCTATTATGTGGAAACAGTATCTTTACAATTTATTTTTAAGTATCTTCCAAGAAAAACAAAACATGTTGCACTCTTTCATTTTTATGGGAAAGGCCAAGCATTTTTCATTTGGCCCTACCTGATTTGAAGCAGGGTATTGTTTTTCATTCAGGGATTTTCTGATATTTTGATTTTCCAGTGGGGTTTAGAAGGGAAGCTGCTGTTTGGCCTGCTAGGGAAAAACAGCATTTCTTGGCTAGTTGTAACATCCAGTATGCTGATGAACCCATTTAAAGAAAATCATAAAAAAGCCAGGACATTACGAGCAGAAAAAGAGAGCAGGGTTCATATACAGTTCAATACAGACCTAATTCTAGTGCGGATGGACTGGAAGTTGTGCTCCAGGAAACCTCTGAGGGGCCAATGGTACAACATGGCACCCGTTGCCAAAAGTACCGCGCAGCAGTATTTGAACATCACCTATATTAAATTGTCGCAGAGCACGCAGGTGCCCTGCTCCTTAGGGTGGAAACAGCTAGGCAGAGGGCCCTAGCAGGGAGCGGGGAGCTCAGCTGGTTACCAGGGCAGCCACAGTAGTAATAAAGCACAGCTGTGTGTTGCCCGGGGAACTGGTGAGTCAGCTGACCAGAAGGGGCAGGGCCTGACCTCTATATAAACCCAGGCTGCGTGAGGAGGCCCCAGGGCAAAGGGGGCAGCGATTGATGAGTGCCAGAGGGCGCGGTTGCGAGACAAGGGCCGTGGAGAGCCCAAGTGCCAGAGAGGGTGTAGAGAGCCAGACAGACCAAACAACGTCCGGGATATCTGCGAGGCTTGGGGCGTGGTACAGGGCCGGTTGGAGCCACACATAGCCCATAAGGCTGGGGTGCACCGAGTCACACAATACAGAATAGGGGCCAGGATACAACAGAGCACCATGTCCAAGGGGACACAAGGCAGCCTCCCTTATACATATAAAAGATCAAGACGTGGTGGGCGAGAACGAGGGTGCTTTAACGTGAACTTGGCACGGTAGGGGGCGCTAGGGGAGATCATGGCTGCCCCTAGGACCCCGCGACATGACATAAATACAAAGGATTACCTAAGGCATTGCAGTTACTGTGGTGTGGTAACTGTTGGCAAACAGTGACCTCTTAATGGCAACACCTGTACCTCATTTTCATCAGCCAGCTCCTGTTTCCATGGAAATGGGACCAGATGCAGCAGCTGACTTAGAAGATCTCTCTTATGTGGATCTCAGCTGTGGCTGCCAGCTGGGCTATGTAAGCACCATTTTCCAAACAGCACCTGCTACACTTTAGGATGCAAGAGACCCCTATCATCTCCCGAGCCAGATTCTGCTGCCAGTTATACTGATGGATATCTGCATTGACTTGATCTCATACAAAGGAATCACTCTCACTTGTACTAAGGTAATAGACAATGTTTCAATTTTCAAAGGAGGTGGAGGATGTCTTAATATTACTTTTAATGTCAGACCATTTCTTTTTCCTACTTTTCCCTGCCCTTCTCCATGGGCTCAACTGACCTAATCTCTCATTCGGAACAGTCTCCATGAAGGCACAGTGACCCCCGAGGACTGACGGCCCTGACCTAGCGCAGCCTTTTGTGTTTGTTGGTTCTGCGGCTCCATTTGTTGACTTGGCCATCAGTTTAGTTTTATCAGCATGTCTTGAAATCCAAGATTATGCATGGACACAACAGGTAATGAAAAATGGTTTTAAAACCTTCTGGCAAAAGTCCTGCCCTTGATGAATGTACCCCCACATGAAGCCCCACTGATGTACATACACCTGAGGGCTCAATTTTGCTCAGCCTACTGGTGGCTCCCCACTACTCATTGCTGTGGTAGCTTGGTAGCGATCACTAGATGGTTGCCAATGACTTTTTGGTTACCCACTTTGCCACAGAACAAGCGAAAAACCTACAAGGCTCCATGTTCCCGTTTTGCTTTTTGGGTTTAGTTCACATATGTCCATGTTTCTTGGGCTGGCCAGGTACAAAAGGGAGTATACATACTTCATCCTGTCAAGAAATGGTGTGATAGGCATGTTCCCTGATGCTTTCCACACCCATCACCAGTAAGTAAAACACTTCCATTCTGCAAGGTATCCAGGTTGTAGCCATACTGCTCTAGAGGCTAAAGCAGGGGTGGAAAAAATGCAGTCCGGGGGCCAGATGCGGCCCACCAGGACATTCTATCTGGTCCATGAAGCCCCTAAAATTTTTAGAAAATTAGTGTTTATCTGCTCCTGGCTGCCTGTCATGCAGCCCTCTATGGCTTGCCAAAACTCAGTAAGTGGCCCTCCACTCAAAATAATTGTCTGCCCCTGGGTTAAAGCAATCAGGGCTCATGGTAGAGGTGAAAGCTTTTATTAGACCAACTAGATTTCTGCAAACACTTTTGCAAAAATCTACTTGGTCTAATCAAAGATATCACCTGTACCATGGGTCCTGATTGCTTTGTCCCTTCTGCAAGGTATTCAGCACCTAACAGGCATAATCCAGCTCTACACATTCAAAGTTAACCCATTACAGCTGGAAATTCAAACCTTGATGCATGGTTTAGCTAACCATTCTAATTGATTTCCTTTTGATATCAGCTTAATATCCTTCTTTTTGGTGATTATATTCCTGTGCCTAAATTAGTGTAGATTGAAGTATAAATATTTAATGGCAGGAAAGAGAAGTTATCATTAGGGATGAAGGGTGTTTGTAGCTCAAGAGACAGCTGGTTTGCCTCCAGCCAGAAGGTCACAGGTTCAAGTCCAAACTGAGAATCCTGAACATGCTCCAGTGCTACAATAATGATTGGCTGAACTTACAGTTTGGCCATCAAGTGAATATTCAATACCTAAGAATGCTTCCTGAAGATAATTAGATTAGTGTGATGTCCACGTCAACAGCTCACAATCCAGCTTTTGTTTCAGCTTTGAAAAATCAGAAGCAAAAAAAAGTAGCCCTTAAAACCCAGCTGCCTCCATATGAGTGCACACAGTAATTATTAAAATTGAGACCCGTATCAAAATTCTGGATCCCAGTTGCACATTTGAAACTTTAAGGATGTTCCAAGTCTGAACTCTGATCTAAATCCAAATTTTGCAATTGCTTGTCATTTAACTGAAAACCGTGGTTACAAACATAACAGCTTTTTGATTGTCCAAATCTGCATTCCTATTCATATATTATTTTATATAGTATGTTTATATCC